CACTTCACACTTACTTCTTGCAACCTGTTGATCAGGAAAAACATTCACACTGAGCTGAAAAGTTGCTCTCGTCGTCTGCTGAAAGCACTGCAGCAGCGGCACACGGAATATCGCCCTGATCTGAGGTCTGCTTACTGTGGACTCTCTGAATCGTAAAGGTCAATAGGATGACTTCATATCTGTCTCACTGAAACATTATACATCCACCTGTGTGAATGACGTGATTCATGTGAGGTATATCTTTACCTGCCTTTCTCTGCAGCAGACGGCGTACAGTATCTGTGCCCGTCTCTCTCTCTCTCTCTCGCCCTACCTTTCTTTTGTTTATCATTTATCTCTCAACATGTCCGTGTGTCTGGCATCGTTGAGTAGGTAAGGCCCGGAAGTCATGAAAAGTTCTGGAAAAGCAGCGGAGAGACATAATGGTGGTGGTAAAGTCAGGCCAGAGGCGCTCAAACATTCCTCTCATTGTTCAGAGGCCCTGTAAGTCCACGGGCTTCAAAACCTCCATGAAAGGAAGGGAATCTAACAACTAAGGTTGCTAACGCAGACTCAACTACAGTACGGTACAGTACAGTACAGTACAGGACTGGTCTGGACTGGACAGGACTGGACTGGCTCCCTCTGTCTTCCTGCTCCATGTCCTGTCAGGTTTCCTTCAGGGACGGCCGGCCTTGGCCAAATTAGACAGTGGAAGTTTGTTTGCCAGGGGAATGGGGGGGGAGGGGGGGGGGACACGACGACAATAATGTCATGCATTATGTCAATGATGAAATAGTTTGACATAACTGGAGACACTGGGTGGGATCGTTGTTATTTTCACTTTTCCATGAGAGGAAATCTGCGAGGGAGAAGCAAACGGAGGAGGTGGGGGAATGGATGCAGAAGAGAGGGAGCAGTAGGATAAGAGAAGGTTAGGCGTTCTTTTGAAGGATGGGTGGGTTGGTTGGTGGGTGGGTGACTGGGTGAGTGGGTGTGCCCAGCAGCAATATGTAGGAATGGGCCCAGGCTCAGGAAACCGTGGCGTAGTGGAATAAAAAATGTGTGTGTGTGTGTGTCTGTGGTGTTCCTGATTCAGTTTTTGCATGTGTGTTTCAGTGGCAGCAGGGCGGCCGTACACTAAGTACAGGGCTGGTGGTGGTGAGGGTGTTTGGCAACGAAAGAGGCTGTGGATAGGGTTACACACACTGGGACAAACCACACTCTAGGGCTGGGCTCTGCGCTGCTGAGGCTAACTTCACAGGCCAGAGAGGCTCGGCTCTTCTTCTCTTCTCTTCCCTTTTTGTTTTCATCTGGAGCCGAAAATACATTTTTTTATATTCCATCGCAGGAAGCACTTGTTCTGTTGATGAAAAGGTATCAGAGGAGACGACCCACAGTGGAGTCAAGTCCTCGTCTGAATGTCACTGAATGTCACGGCCTCAGCAATAATTACACCCTCACACGCAACATGAAACAAATACAATCCCAGTCACGTGCGCGCACATACCCAGACACACACACACACACACACAGACACACACTCCATCTGCTAGCAAGAGCACCAGGGTGTGGTACCGAGCAAGGTGCTTGGGTTCAAAGATCTAGGATTAAGTCGGAGGGATGCGTTCTGCAACTTCCTTCTTTCTTTTTTTTTTAATGTTTAGCTCACTCTCCATTTGAGGCGAGGGTTGGATTTTTCATTTCACAAAGTGAGAAATGAGCTTCTATTTTTACCTTCGCTCTGTTTTCGTGAATATTCAGATTGAGTGAAAATGAAGTCAAGTTTTTTGCTGCATCAGACTTGTTTCTCCTCTTTGAGTTGTCTCACTCCACATTTCTGGCCTCAGGTGATCTGGTTAATATGGTTACTTTTTCTCTGCCCTCTTTCCTCTCTGTCAGCAGTAATCTCTGGGCTCATTATGTGCAGTGCATTTACAAGACTGTGAAAATCCAACATGGCCAGTTTGAACATTAAGGACATAATACTGTGACCTTTGTTCATCTGTGTTTATAATCGGAGAAAGACAAAAGATTTCTCAGGAATGTGTGATAATAAAAAAAAGGTAAAACCTCTCCTGTTTCCCCTGTCGCTCTGCCTCTCTTTTCCTGGGTTGTGAACGCCAGGCAACTGTATGGTTGAATTCCCAGACACTTTGATTCTGGAACTGCATGAGCCACTCTGACATAACTGTGTTGTTTTATTGATAGTAAGCATATTTTGACCATGGACGCAGGTCTAAGTCTGGACTTTGTGCTTTTCTTAAAGCATCTGAGAGAGGACACACACAGACACACACAGACACACACAGGGAGCATAAGGGCAGAGGAGATATGTGTTAAAACAAAAGGTTGAGCTCCAGCTGTCGCAACAGAGGAGTTTCCACTTCACCGTGTGCCCTTGTGTAAACGCTTCAGAACTCAGGCCCGAGACTTGAGGGAAAACAGTCGGCGGCCACGTCTACATTTAGGCCTGTGTAGGTCATGTGTACGACCACAGAGAAAAAAGTTGAACAGTACACCCCAAAACCATCAAAGTACCCTCAGATACAGACCATCATAAAAAAAACCCTGTAAAAGGTTCATTAAACTACACATCTGCTGCGACTGTCACTAAATTCAACTTATTTTTCTTTCCTACATCTGTAACAGGATGCAACAATGTGGCGCCATTATGAGCCACCAATGATCGGCTCATGTGGCAGAACCCTGTGATTACTTCTGGCCACGATAATAACAACAACAGAATGGTCCGGTTGCCCAACCCCCCCCTCCCCCCCCCAAACGCAAAAGTGAGACAAGTTGAGATCCTCGCAGCGAGTGTTTGAGGTGAGGTGTTGGACCGGGACAGCGTGCGTCAACCAAATGCCGTCATTAAAGGGGAAGGGAAGGAATGAGCTCATAGACATTAACGGCTGTGGGGTTGATGGGGGGAACGGCGAGGGGAAGAGAGAAACAGATGG